AGTCTAGAGATTCACGTTATTGGGCAGCCTAAGACACCAGTGGGCTACAGGGGCACTGCAGCCCACAAGCAGCTTATTCAACTTTGTCTCTCTCTTGTTGCTTTGTAGACTGTCACAGTGCTTCCTTGGAGACTAGAGTTTGAGACCAGTGGCAGCATGCCTGTTATGTTCCTAGTTTGATTGTTCCATGTTACCCTGTTTCCTAGACATATCTGGGTGTGGGAAAAAAATTTAAAATCAGTGTAGGTTGACCAGGAATTGTTCAACTCTTCAAGTTGTCCTTCACGTTAATTTGGCCAACAACTCGCAACAATATGTCTCTGGCTCTGGTGAGTACGAGGAGGCTATTTCTACAGATGCCCAAACTCCTGGAAGCTGTGAGGGATGCTGATGACATGGGAGACCCTCCTCAAAGCATGGCTAGTGTATTGCTGTGGTCCGTGTGCATGAGGCCTGCCCTGCACAAGGGAAACGATCTGTCCCAGCCTCTCATCCTTTCAGGTTCTTGCTCTGCAGAAGGGAAGGCTTTCTTGTGCCCCTTCCAAGACTCATGTCTGATCCTGCTCTGGGAGCAGGCTGTCTGTGGTCTGGGAAACCAATGACATTGTGGCCATGACTGGTGAGGGGGTGGTTGTGGAGTGAATGACTGGGGCAAAGGAGAGTCTCTGTGAGCCTGACACTGGAACAAAAGAGGTACAATTGAGAAGAGTTGTAAGAAGAGTGTTGCTGGTTACTTCACCAGGGTCATGTCATGCAATCAAAGTAAATATCAGTCCTAACTGCATTGCTATTTAGAACATCGCAGAGTAAGTTTGCACTCAGAGCCTGAATAGCATCATTTTGAAACCATGCCCACAGCAGTTGCAGGAGGAAGTTGAGCAACTGGGTGTAAGAGTCAGCTCTGGGGAGTCCAAGTTTAAGTGCTCTAAGAAGTGAGTGAACTGCAAGGAGGGCTGCTTAAATACATCTTTATTAATACATCAGTTTCAGCAACAGCTGAGGCAGTGACAGGCGTGTTGCTAGTCAGGACCTCCATTTTGTCATACTTGGCTATTCCAGAGTACCTAACTCACATGTGATTAACCTGAAATTACCTTCTGGATCCAGGAGTGGCTGGGGAGTGACTGTTTTCAGGTTTCTCATGTTTTCAGGTGGGTGGAAGGGTGCTGTGACTCTGTCTGCCTGGGTCAGATGAGCTGGCTGTGAGAACCCATGCCCATGAGACCTTTAGCTGCATGAGACGGGGTGTGTAATGTAAGCAATGTCCCTGTGCCACAACCTGCTGTTTTCTCATCCTCAGCTGTGAATGTGAATACCTAGATGAACACGCAAGACAGAGACAGCTGAACCTTCTAGGTTTTCTGGAGAAGTCCACACAGCAATAGGCTATTCTATTTGATTACAGAAAGGCACAAACATGAAATGAAATGCAACTAGCACACAAAAAAAAAACCCAAACAAAACCCCAACACATCACTCTAGAAGCCCACTAACTGTATGAGGTAGAAGGGGCTCTCTAATGCTAAAGTGAGAAAACTAAAAGATGTCAGGAAGGCAGTACCTTCTAGACCTTACTATGAAAGATCAGTAAAATAAGTAAACTAATGCATTAGGCTCAGCTAAGAAAACAGTAGAACATTTAAGTCAGGTATTTTCAAATTTACCTCAAGTCTCTCTTTAGCTGCCCCAGCATATTTAAAGATTTTGCTATCAGAATCTCAGACTCAATAATCAATGCTTTTAGAAATTATGGATGTTAGGTAGGAAAGAGGGAGGCTGTAAAGTGACAAGCATGGCAGAGGGGAGGGAGGAGAAAAAAAGAGAAAGTAAGCAATTATTGATTAAGCAAATCTTCAACAGGAAATCATGTCTCAAAAATCTGATTGCCTTTATGACAGCTTGACATACCTTATTGATAGAGAAAAACTGTATGTGCAATATGTCTTGATTTTCAGGCAACTTTTTATGAGATTCCCATAAGCAAATAAATGCTGTGCATTGATCTGCAGCTAGATGCATACAAAGCTTGTTGCAAAACCAGAATAGGGGGTGGTTCTCTGTTGAAATGGAAATGTGTATCAAGTTGGATTGCACAGATCCTGAATCTGGGGACCTAGATGAATACTCATAAAAGGGAAAATGCTTACTATCTATCAGGCTGGGAAGGAGTAAGTATGCTGTAGGACAGGGACAGAAAAAAAATAAAAATCTTCAATTAGAAGTATGAAAAATATGGGAAGCTAATCAACCAAAACAGTAGGAATAATCAACCAGTTGGGAAAACTGAGTAGGTAGCAGTTCTGTACAACAGTAACTCAGGCTTTGAGTGGTCACAGACTGGTGTGAGTCAACTATGCCTTGTTATTGCAAAGAAAAAAAGATAAGAGACCTGCTGGGATGAATTACGAGGATTAGAGTCTGAAAGACTCGGCAAGGAATTCTGCTTTGCTTAGCAGTTGTAAAGCTAGTTTTGGATGTTACACATGAAGAAGGATGTGGACCACCTGCAGAGTAAACAGAATGTGAAGGGGTCTAAGGGAAACAGTGAATTATCTCAGATTGTTTAATTAGGAAAGAATGACAACATAAACAGTCCACAAACATGTGAGAAGTTACTTATGAGATGGGAATAACCTGTTTTCTACACCCACCAGGGGCAGAAATTGCAACCAGGATATTTTAGGTTAAACATTAGGACAAACATTTTTCAAGGCTAGAGGTACTGGAAGAAAGATTGCCAGTGGTATGGTCAGGATCTGTCAAGAACAGGCTATGGGGTCTTTAAGAACTGGCTATGTACATATCTTCTATAAACAGATATTTTATAGGTGTAGTGGAGCTGCCTATCAGTATGATCATCTAAGGACCCTTCTGAGCCCTGTATTTCTGTTGTTGTTAATGTCATAAGATTGTAGAATGGTTTGGGTTGGAGGGGACCGTTAAAGCTCATCTAGTCCAACCCCCCTGCCATGGGCACGGACACCTTCCAATGGACCAGGTTGCTCAAAGCCCCATCAACCTGACCTTCAACACTTCCAATGACAGAGCATCCACACCTTTTCTGGGTAACTTATTCAGTGTCTCACCAAACTCAATTATAAAAAACATCTGTCTTATATAAAATCTAAATCTACCCTTTTTCAGTTTGAAACCTTCTCCCCTTGTCCTATCACTACAGGCCTTGGTGAAAAGTGGATCCTGGCCACCACTGCACCCATTTCCCCATCTCATGTCCTGATGTCCATGGCACTCCACTTGATATTACTTGAAGGTTTCAACCTGAAAAATCCTCCTCATAATCCTGCTTCTAGTTAAGTTAGTTTACCTGTGAAACACGGTGCAATTTCTCTGTTGTAATCCTGATCTCACCCTAACCCTGTTGCTTGTAAGTACAAACTCATGCAATGTTTTGGAGTTATCTTCATACATAAAACTATATCTCTTTTTCTAACCTTAAAACTTATGTTGTAGTACATAACTGTTCAACAATGTTCAAACATCAGCCATGGGTAAACACAAGAAGTGTCTTGTAGATATTGTATTTGGTATCTGGTAATCTCTGAACCTGAGAATTTCCAGTCATTACTCTTGAGAAATAATTTCCTTCTGCAGGCTTTTTTTTTGCTAAAAATATTCTTTTTAATACTTCTCTATTCTTTACATAAAATAATAAATTCTCAATATTTTTAACCAGATTAATAAAAATAAAGTTTTCCAGCCATGTTGAGTCCCAGTTATTTATGTATACAACAAGAGTAAACAATAATTACCTTTACTAATAAATTTTTTTTCTTTGTGTGTGTGAAGAGAATACTGAAAGAAATATTTAAAGTCAGTAAACCTATTTGGTTACAATTTTTTAACTGTTGTTTCTTCTTTTGAAATTAAATTGTTCCTTCTTTGTTATCTTTTAACAAATCATTAGGGCTCAGTAAGGCAAAAGGGAATATTTATTATTTGTACTGATTCTAGCTGGTAGAAAATAGTAGTAGTAGTAAGTAGTAGTAGAGTGGAAAATACTTCTCTCCTTGGAGTTTGCCCTTTTTAACATAAAGATAACTTTTATAAGGCAATGTCAAGATGAGTAACTGCTTAAACTCAGAAGTATTTTTTCCCATTTGTAACCTCTGCCACTGGCCTAATTCAGCCTTGTAAGTTTTGTTGGGTTTTTGTTTGTTTTTAAATGAGGTAATGCAGTGACAGAGAGCTCAGGTATCTGTGGTGCACTGTTTTTATTTACAAGAAATGTATGCAAAGTCTTTATTGCTCTGAAAAGGGGAAGAATCGAGCAACATGAGGGAGATTGCTTACAGTTTGTTCTTTTACAGTTTGTTCTTTTGACTTTCTCTTGGTAACATACAACTGTTTGATTCTCTTGCTCTCTGGCTTTTTTCTGTTTGCTTGATGGGTGCATCGCACAGATACGCTGTCCTTCCAAACTATACTCAACCTTTGCATCCACGTTCAAACCACAGTGCTACCCTTTATACAACATTATTTTAGTTCTTACCCCAGCCTTGTCATGCTTGTCTGGATTTCAGTCAGTATTTTTTACTGTGATGGTTACTGATAAATAAAGGTGAATTTAGCATGATTACATAATTCTGTTCTGCCCACTGTTTTCAGCAGTGCCCACAGAGCAAAGTCAATAGCTGTTTTCAGAGACAGCAAATCTACAGAATGAATTTGCATTTAAAATTAAATACATATTTACATAATCTTACCATTCAAAGTGCTATGGTATATGGCAATATGTATATATTTTTTTTCTTCTGGATGAAAATACGCTATTAATTCTGAGGGAAAAGGGTTCTTTCTCCCACTGGTCTCTTCCACAGGACTTTAGAAGAGGGCTGGCTTTGGAACTACTCCTTCCCACAGCAACACAGTGGTTCTAAACTGTTGCTATGAGAGGCAGGGAACCTCCAGAGCACAGCTCCTCCTGAGTCCTGAGCCAAGTAGGAGAAGACAAGTGACCCTGCTGTTCATGGAGGCAGCCCTTTCCTTTCCTGGATGCTGTGTGTCTCAGTTCCAGCTGAGGTCCTAATTCAGCTGTCCCGCAGCTATTAGCTGTCATGGCTGCATGACCTGCCTCTGTGTTGGGCAGGGAGAGCTCACATTGCTTAGAGCTTGTCCAAAGGTGGAAAAATCTGCAATTCAGCAGTGGAAGAAATGGCTCTTATGAATGGCAGAGTTGGTGCACCTGATGTGGCAAAAACTCCAGTATTACAACAAATGCCCTCCACAAGCATTCAATGATTTAACAAGTCAGTCTCTGAAATTGAGTAAATGTTTTACAGAGAGAAAGAGAGTATAATTGTTTTCCTAACTGGTTGTGGAACAGTGTTACCACATCTGTGCCTCAAGACAGCTAGCTGTTCACACTTCCAGGTAAGCTCCTTGGTGAACAAGTTCTTCAGCTTAACTGACTAGATCCAGATGGGATACCAACAGCAGCTGTGGTCACACCTTTTCATTAAATCAAGCCTCTGATTCTGCGTGATGTAGGGGAGTTTTGTCATTGACCTAATTAGGATCAAAAGCAAATCCCAATCTGCCTGCAAGACCCTGTGATGTCAGTTAAAAGTTGTGCCATTTTACTTTTGTACCAACTTCTTAACACATCATGGCTTCCATCTGCATGTGCACAGAGACCAACCACAGCTCTTAGGCAAGCATTTGGGATTAAGCTGATCAAAAATAGAATAGTGGACGAGAATCTGCTTCAACTTATTTTATGTTTCATACCAATTTAACTCCATTAATTGTCATGGAATTTCTTTTCAGTTGCACTGTTGCAATCAAGGGCAGAGCTTTTGCCCCAAGTGTTTCCCAGCTTCAGGAATCTTTTAATTTCTCTAATTTTTCTTGATGTTGTTTCACTAACCCTTCTTCATCTTTGCTGCTGAATATACATTTGATTATTAAATTTGGTGCTTCTCTTCACATGACCTATTTCTTTTGCGTCTTAATGCTGTTGCTTGGATACACTTCTAAGTCAGGCACTTGGTCTCATCTTGCTTTTCTCTATGCTTTGGGCAATACAAATGGCTTGCTGTTGAATATTTTTTCAGATTTTTAAATGTATGTGGTTTGTCTGGCACCTTGGTTTCAGCAGAACTTTTGTCTTATTACAGATGTGTTGTTTTACGAACAGTAAATCCTGTGTAACATTGAGTAGCTCCCTATTGCTTTTCTTTAGTCAGTTACAAAAATGGCACCATTATGCAGAGGAGAGGCCAATCACTACCAAATTTATGGGAATACCAATATTTATAGATAAACAGGGAGATACTTAATCTCCTTTTTAGATGTATACTATAGCTGCAAGTTCATTCCTTACATGAATTAATCTTTTTGGTTTAGTCCTAGACTAGTAAAAGTATACTACAGGAATAAACTAAAGCATTTTAATTTGAGCTGAGGTATTCTTACTCCTGTATGGAGTTTTGCTTATACCATTTTGAAAAAGGTATAGTAGACTAGAACAAGAAAAAGCTGAAGGAAGTGTGGCAGAGACTTTCAGAGATAGTGAGTAGCTACCATGTGTGGAGAGGTTAAAAAAGGTTAGAATTCTTGGCCTAGAAGAGTGACAATGGAAAGCAGCACAAGAAAAATCTTTAAAGCAAGGGATAGTTTGGAAAGGTAAATAAAAAGCAAGCAGTCTTGCTTCAATACAATACAAGATTTAGGAACATCCTGTGAATCATATAATGGATGGATAAAAAGAAGAAGGAATTACATTTTCATGTGACAAAAATAGTGGAATGTGATGCTGTTGCAGTCTGAGGAGCCAGTACTATGAAAGAGGGAGTAGGTGGGGTAATGGAATGTGTCTGTTGGTTGCTGTTGAAGATAGCAGCCAGATACAAACCTCACCTCAAACCTGTGGTCACTGATCGCTAGAAGCCGGCAAAAAAAGTACAACAGGAAGGTTCAGAGCATGTTGCTAGATTTTTGTATGGGTTGTACAATTTATACAATGTGTTGTCTGGCCTGTGTTGCTGTATCTTCACTGCTGCTTGTATGTGTGCTATCTTTAACAGGATTAAAGATAGCACAAATACACCTCCTCATGCTACAGGCACATCTTGATTTTGCTGTGTAGGTATTTTGGACATGTAGAACAAGTCTGAGGAGGAAGGGGAAACTTCTGAAATCTACTCTTGTCAAAACATTCCATATGCTTACTGGTATGTGGCTAAGTAAACACACATATGTGAGTGTTTAATAGCATGTATTTTCTTTGTAGGTGCACCCAAAATTCCATTATGGTTTGTACTGCTGGGGCGATAACAGAAATCAAGGAATTAGAATTCTGTGAAGAGAGAAGTAATTGATAGTGATATGATGTAGAAGCACATGCCTGAAATGAGTTAAGTACCTAGACATTCAATTTATTAACAGTATTACCAAATATTATTTCTGTGAAGATGTTACTGGAGGCTGTGTGAAACACAATTATCACATATGCTTATTGACAATCCTAATGAGAATAACTTCTATAATCATGTTATTGATGGGAAACTTCTTGTGCAAAGAACTGCTGGCTTGTGAGGTCGATGCAGAACACTGCTCTCTCAAGCAAAAGACTGAAGTGCCCACCTCACTGGAGAAGCAAAAAACTAAATAAACTGCTTAAGCATTAGCTGTCTAGTACCATTTTAGTTGCTATGTGGTACATCTCTCCTGTCCTCCAGCTGTTTCAGAAAGCTGCAGACCCACCATTAGTCTTGTGGTGTATCTGCCAGTCCCTGCAGATAGCTTTGATACCCAAGGGTGTGTCAAGTAGCACTAGATGATGCAGATGAATTCTGTGAGTGGCAGCTGAAAGGTCACCCAAGGGGCTCCAGCTGACACTCCATCAGGTAAGAGACATGTGGAGGAACCTGTCTGGGGAACCAATTCCTTACCTAGATGTGTCAGAGCATTGATGTACAGATCCCAGAAGTTTATACTTCAGTTACATGGACTGAACTTAGTGGAGCCAATACAAATAGATCACATTTAAAAATCATGTATGTGTGAGTTATGCAAGAGCAGATTCCACACTATACAGTACTGGGTACATGACTTCGATTACATTTTTACTTGATTTGGTACCTAGTAAGGAAGAAACTTTAATAAAGGTTCCAGTTAAATGCTCAGGTATTGTTCCTTCTGGTCTTTTAAAGAACTGTAATTTCTGTATGATTTTCCTCATTCAAGTATGTTCTTGACATGAAAACTGCAGGGGGCTGGACTAGATAACCTTTGAAAGTCCCTTCCAACCCAAACTATTCTATGATTTGATGATTCTATGTACATTTTAAATAATAAATAAATGTATAGGGGTTTTGAAATTAGAAAAACACATCGGTGAACTAACTTTATTATCCACTGCATCCCTCAAAGAGTGGATTAACGAGACATAGTGAATAAATCAACAATTAAATGTAACTGCCCCATGACAAACAAATTAAAAAAAACAACCAAACAAAAACAAAACAAAATAAGAAAAAAAAAACCCAACCACAAAAGCCCATAAAACAATTACAGATCTAGATAACAAAATCCAGGAAGATGTTAATATCTACAATAAATAATATTACACAAATAATACTTCATCTACCGTAAGAGCTCTGCATTTTGGTAATCAATGATTTTGGAAAACTTGTGTTGTTTTTCTTAGTATTTGTCACACAACATTAGTTTGGTCATACAACAAAATCCAAAAAATATATTAAGGCCTCCTGAAAGACCATTTAACTAATTGAGGCGCAACTGTTGTCTGTTGAAGGCAAAATGCCTTTCATCTTTCAATCTTGAAATCCTCTTTAAAAATGTCAGAAAAGGGTGTGTGATTACTTCACTAATGATTAAGGAACAAATCCAAAGTATCTGATAACTCAGTATTGCTTCTTATTAACAGTTGCATAAGCAAGGGATATGGAAAACCTAAATACATTCACAGTGTATCCTTCGGGATAGATGATGCCGGTATCTGTAGCCCTACAGCATGCTATGTCAGTGTTACCAACTGGATCATTACTTTCAGTGTGAGCTACTGTAATTACACAATCTCATATTGCAAGTACTTATCTTAATTCTGCCATTTACCTATCTCTCTGCATTTAAGAATGTTAAATGCCAGAATGTTTTAGATTGGAGTGTTTCAAACCTAGGTTAGTGTGAGTTTCAAACTTCTCTGAATTGATAAAACATTGCAGCTGCATACATTCTCAGTGGTTTCAGAGTATACAACCATATTAAGCAGGAACAGTCCCAGAATAGTTTGTTCTATCAGTTTTTGCACGGATCCATATTTCCAGACACACAAATTTCCAACAAGTCCTATCTGTCTGGCATGTGGAAACCCATCTCTCTACAGACAGTCGTCATATACCACTAAGGGCAGTCTTTCAGCCCTTACCACCAGCCACTTGTAGGTGCTTGAGGGAATGCCTTGACTGTGTTTCTTGTGCAGTTACACAGGCGTGGTGACTACTTATGGACACGTGAAACCTTTTGATTTAGTCTGGAACTGGGATTTCAGACAAGCTGTCTCAGCTGGGACCCAGGACCAACCCTGCTTCTTACTCTCACTTCTGTTAGTAAGCTGGTAGCTTCAGAGTGACAACATAAATGAGTGCTGACAGCCACCAAGTATTTACCAGTATTTCCAGAGTATCCAGAAGAGCAGACAAGTTCTGTTTCAGTTAAGTGAGAAAGACTGATAGATACTGTTGCAGGTGTGGATTTAATAAAGCAATAGAATATTTAATCCTCCCGCACCTTAACATTAGCCTTAACCACGTAGTTCCCTCCTGTTGTACAGGCAACTAGTGCTATTAATATAGCACTGCAGCTTCTCTCAAGAGTCTTCAGTCCCATGTGCCTGGGAAGAAGCTGGGGCTGTCTTTAACAGCCAAGTAAGCCCTGCCTACACTGCTGGTCCATCTCATTCTGCATCCCAGCCTAGGGGTCCTGCCTGCCTTAGTCGACCTCTGGGGGAGTGTGTCTTGCCACACAGCCTGATAAGGCAAGAGTGCACACCTCCAATACATGGCCCTACACAGAATAGAGAAATCTTCATCTGTCATCCTCATGTAGAGCCTCCCCCCACCCCAATACTGCAGTAATATATTAAGCGTTGTGTTTCCATGAGCTCTAGAGCCTTACATGAATACTAGAGGGACTCACTGTGACTCACACAACAGCTTTACATACACCCCCTCACACCCAGGATGGACTAACTGAGATTGCCTGTACCCAGACATCTGTCACTCTTGTTACATGTGAACTGAACACAGACTTCATTATATCACATTACCAAAATACAACTTTATTTTTCTTGAAAAAAATGAATGCATTCCAAACTCTGTTTGCAGTACCTGACTAGATTCCCCGGGAAAAAGATTTTTAAGGGTTTTTACGGCATGCAGAGTGTCTCATGTTATAGAATCATAGAATCATAGAATAGTTAGGGTTGGAAAAGACCTTAAGATCATCAAGCTCCAACCCCCCTGCCATGGGCAAGGGACACCTTGCTCTAAACCATATTACCCAAGGCCTCATCCAACCTGGCCTTGAACACTGCCAGGGATGAAGCACTCACAACCTCCCTGGACAACCTATTCCAGTGCCTCACCACCCTAACAGGAAACAATTTCCTCCTTATATCCAATCTAAACTTCCCCTGTTTAAGTTTTAACCCATTGCCCCTTCTCCTATCACTACAGTCCCTAATGAAGAGTCCATCCCCAGCATCTCTGTAGGCCCCCTTCAGATACTGGAAGGCTGCTATGAGGTCTCCACGCAGCCTTCTCTTCTCCAGGCTGAACAGCCCCAACTTTCTCAGCCAATCATCATATGGGAGGTGCTCCAGTCCCCTGACCATTCTCGTGGCCCTCCTCTGGACTTGTTCCAACAGATCCATGTCCTTTTTATGATGAGGACACCAGAACTGTACACAATACTCCAGGTGAGCAGAATAAAGGGGCAGGATCACCTCCTTCGACCTGCTGGTCACGTTCCTTTTGATGCAGCCCAGGATACCGTTGGCTTTCTGGGCTGCAAGCGCACACTGCTGGCTCATGTTTATTTTCTCATCAACCAGCACCCCCAAGTCCTTCTCCGCAGGGCTGCTCTGAATCTCTTCTCTGCCCAGCCTGTAGCTGTGCCTGGGATTGCTCCAACCCAGGTGTAGGACCTTGCACTTGGCATGGTTAAACTTCATGAGGTTGGCATCAGCCCACCTCACAAGCGTGTCAAGGTCCCTCTGGATGGCATTCCTTCCCTCCAGCGTATCAACCGAACCACACAGAACTGACAGAATACACCATGTATATTTATTTCCCCATGCTCTGAACACTTCTAACAGCACTTCAGACCCACATGGACTCAGATGGTGAAAAACTGTACCAGACTTTGTATTCAAGGAACTAACTAGGTATATGAAAGTACACATTGAACTAGATCAGCACATGCAGTCTTTTAACAACAGCGTATGCACACCTCCTTGTACTGTCAGTGCTTTGTTCACTAGCCCTGTAGAGGAGAGCACAGCAAAAGACTTTCTCTTTTGACTCATCCAATTTTCCTTTAATAGCTAGTATTACTTTAGTGATTTCTTTGCAGTGTTTCACTGATTATTTCAAATGGTATTATTTTCATTTGTTCAATATTTTGTTCTTGGTGTTGTTGGTTTCTAAGGTGACAAGTTCCATAATTTTGTGAAATCCAGTGATCACTTTTATATTTTGGTAAAAAAAATTAGGAGAGATTTATTCAAGGCTTGTGGTTTTAATTTCTGGTTTGGAGTCTTGGATGAGTAGATACCCATATGCATCAATTGGGGGCTGTCTGAAAATGAAGGGGAAGCTACGTTTCTGAGTATGTAGATGTAGTATGTAAACTAGACTGAAAGCAGTAATAATGACAAGCTTGGGCCTTTAGAAATAGGCCAGAAATTAACAGAATTAGGGTATTTGTAGTTTAATGGATTTAACTAGTTTTGACATTTTGCAAACAGTGGTGAGAACAGTCAAATGAACAGATGTACAGTTCTTACTAAAGCATAGTAAGTAAACAAAGAAGTTATATGAAGACTTGTAAATGTATCATACAACACAACAGTGTATACTCTATGAAAGGAAAGCAGATCTGAGAGTCTTCAGATTTAAAATTATTGGACAGCTGTCAAATCTCTGAGTGTTTTGCCAGCATTATTTCCCTAGAGAAATCAATTTATGACAGTATGAAGAATCAGCTAGAAAAACTTTTCATAATTGAGAACTCCATAAAAGACATGCTCCCAAGTTAATGCTTCAAGTTACTTCTAAGTTAGAGTAAAATGGACCACATAAAGTAGAGATGTGGTATTTTCATTTTATATAGATACTTTTATGAAGTTGTTTGTAATAACACATGAAATATTTCATGAAGCACAACAAAAACCACGATATGCACATCTGATGTAGTTTGGATCAGATGATGGTATTCCTGCTCTCTGATTTGGGTAGGCCTTAAAGCCTCACTCATGCTGTGCTTATCCAGCAGCTGAACTGCACCTGAATTGAGTCACAAAGGGTGAAAAACAACTGGAAGCATTAACTTCCTCAACCATCCTATGGCCATTCCTATTCATAATTCAGACCTCTCAGAGTAGGACTGTAAGGGGATTTGTTTTGGCATTACTTTCAGAATTACTTCAAAGGCAGTGGCTGGAAGGACTTTTACTGAATACTAAATTCCTGAACTTGCCTCTCTCAAACCTTAGTTAAGCTCTTTCTACTACAATCATAATTTAGCAGCCTACCAAAGTATTAGCAAAATCTTCCTTTGGTTCCTAAATCCAGGCAGAGATATTGTTAAAACAGGTATTTGAAAACCACAATCTACTGAGTCTGTACCACATGTGAGGCATAGCATCAGTCATAGCACCATGGTTACTAATGAGTCCAGTCTCTGCCCATTTGGTTAGAACGTGTAGATTCTGCTATCTAGTAACACATACCGATTATATGTGTTATATAGATACATAATCGGCTGCACAATATAGTTTCTGACAAATACATAAATTTAAATTTAGTTACAAAAATTTTAATGTAATTACCATGACAGCCTGTAACTTTAGGTGTCCCATCATCTATTTTACAGTATGTCATTAGCTTGTGAATGAAAAGTATATTTTACTGTTAATTGCTCCTTTCATGAAAACAGAGTTTCAGTATACCTCAAAACCTAGGTAAAGGTAAATCTGAAGAGAATGATTGCTATTATGTGTAACTTCAGGTAAGAGCCAATATTAATCTCATTTATGTGACTATATAGGGTATGGTTGTCATACCATACATCTATCTATATGCATTTGAATTAATAAGTTTTGCTGTATGGAAAAATGCTTACCTTGTGCCAGCTCTTGATCTTATCTAGTCTTTCTCCAAGTTTATTTGATCACTAAAAATAGGACAAAGCAAAACCAGTCAAAAGGGGGTAGGTTTCTGTGGAGCTAATTGCATGGGCTCAGGAAAAGATCTGGTGAGAACTAAAGGCAGTGATAAAATGGCACAGAGCCTTAGAGGTGGTAAGGAGGGCACAGAGTAATTGTGGACTAGAAGTGAGAGCTCACTCTCTTAGTAGCAGTGAGATGCTGGATGGACTTAGCTATGTGAGCAGAGTTTCAACCAGGTGTAAAAGAGGATTTCACTTCACAGTAGGTTAACATCTTGTTAATTTAGTTAAGTATTGTGGTAGTTATTAGTCCAGGGAGAAGAGAGTTAACCACAGAAAGAAAAATCCACTGCTCTTGAAATTCTGATGGATTCTTTTTTGTTTTCTACAGCTCATCCATTATACTCTGGCTACAGTCTGCATTGTGACAGAGACATACCATTAAAATGCTATAATCAGCTAACAGAATCACTGGACTGGACTACAGTCACAAATGGATACAAGCTTGGGATTTATATTTAGCTATGGTGATAGTGCAGTTTGCAAATTAGCATGGGCATACCTGATCCATCTTTAAATTAGCTAATCCTCTTAATGGAAAATTTCTGATCACTGCAACACTGTGCTTGGCACAAGGTAATTTACTTTTGCCATGGTGGTGTTTCCACTGTGCCAGCAGTGTGTGTGTATGCAGATTACATTTTAGACACATCCACCATCTACTTATGAATCCTAGTTTTCTTTTGTGAACATGGAGTTATGTGCTAACCTTTATGTATGGCTAGCAAAATGAGAACCTTTTAGAAAGAAGTGTAACAGTTAAGAATTCATTGCATAGCAAGAATGTGACACCTAGTGGATAGATGACATTGAGGAAATGTGAGTTCCCATCAAGGATTATTGACATTAAATGACCCTATCCAGTAGAACAACAAAGTAGATACCAAAAAAGACACTGATCTTGAATGACTGTTTACACAGGGCCAAAGTAATTGTGTGATGGCAAGTCCGCCCTGAAAGCTCAGAAGTGAAGGTGGTAAGAGGTTGGTTTAGAAGGATTTTTTTTGTAAGCCACTAGCAGAATGAAGATGTCAGGCCAAGAAGGCTAGAGAGCTTTAAAAAAACAGAGACTAAAGCCCATGAAGACCTTGTGGATATTCAAGAGATGCATCATAACTGGAGATTTGCAACAACCAAAACACAAGAATAAAGCATGTCTAAACCCCCACTTTTGTTAAACCCACTTCTGTTATTCCCATGCTGTATCTTCAGGAAGTGAATTTTAACAGTCAGAAATACTCACTGGTGAGTAACTATATGGGTAGGCCCCTGGGAGCTGGATGAAACTGAGACACAGTTTAAGAAGTATGACTAACACATTCTACCCAAACTAGCTGATACAGACTTTTGACTCTCTGAAACTCTCTACTGCAGTCTGTAGAGCCTGAATTTCAAGTATTCATATACCTCAATTTTCCCATGTGCTCTAGTCCCTTACTGCTTCATTGGCTATAAATAACAAAAAACCCAAACAAGCAAACAAAAAAAATAATCACCAGAAACTGGTATTTTATACTGGCTACGGAGTACAAACCCAACTTTTCTCTGTATTTCCAAATACACTGAAAAGTACATGTTGAATAATAGCCAGATGCTAGAGGAAGGATAAAGCTTACCTTCTGGCACTTCTGCTCTGTATGGGGTCTATACATTGGCTCTAAAAAACCTCTACCACAGGGGTCTTTTTCCTGGGGCAGTCCCTAATTCCACTGGATAAGCCAAAATGAAGTTGCTTGTCAGATAATTAGTTTATGGCAGTTCCATCTTACCTGAAAAGCTGTTATGAATTTGCTTTCAGTAGCTTGTAAGCTAAGCAACAGTGGGTTTTTACTTGGCACAAACCAGAAAGGCAAACAGTGCAAGCTCCCAGCTGTGAGGGACAGTTTCTGTGACCATTCTAGATCAGCATGCGCTGGTTATGTCTGTAGGCTGACCTATTCACAAGGGACACCAAGCGCCCTAGTATTGTCCAAAACAGTACTCGGAGAACATGGTTTACAAAAGCTTCCACAAACCCAGCAGCAGAGTGCATTTTGCCAGCCAGCTTCTCCCTCTGCCTTTCCTTCTCTTCAAGGCATACTTTGCTCTTCTCAGCTACACGTGGATGTGTGGAATTTCTACAGATATCTTTGTTATCAAAAAGGCAAAATTTTCCTCTTTTCCCCGTAGAAATATGTTTACAAACAAAACTAACACAGTTGAAGAGCAGGGCTTTCAGCTTCAGCTCCAGAAAGAAACCTGGCCTGGCAAGAGAGACAGCATGGGAAGGGAAATGAGCAAAAAACAGAGGATGAAGAAAAGAGGGCTCATTGTCCATAGGAGCACTGGTAAAACACTGTAATAAAGCATTTTGACAGTACTGCGGCACCGGGACAGGGCCGTCGCTAACCAACACCGCCGCAGCCCACACCAGCAGCCAACCCCCTCAGTCCCCTCAGCATTCCACAGCTTGGTCCGTGAGCACGAAAACGAGGCGGAGCAGCACTGCCTCCGCCAGTGGGAGGACGGCGGTGTCAGAGTCGGGCCGCCCCGTTGCAGCTCCCGTCAACGGCCGCAGAGAGGTTTCCGCCTAGCTCGGCCCGGCCAGGCCCCGCCCTGCCTTGGGGACGTGGAGCCGGCAGCAGGCTGTGAGTATGGGTACAGGAGGGTGGGCAGTTGTCTCCCAGCGGGAAGGGGTTCTCGCTGCCGTGACGGGACTAGCCTCTTGCCTTCCAGCCTAGCCTAGCCTAGCCTAGCCTAGCCTTGCGTTGCCTTGCCTTGCCTAGCCTAGCCTAGCCTTCCCCGCCTTGGGACGCAGGCGGTGTTGAGCTGAGGCGGTGTGTCCGGCCTGAGGCGTCCGACGTGGAGCGTGGGGGGGACAGGGTGGTGTCCGCCGACGGACCGCGGCCTTGCGGGAGGGAGAGAGGGTGAGTCACTGGTTGTGCTGGCGACGGCGAGGCGACTGGGCCTCTCCTCCCTTTTCGTCCGGGGAGCTCCCTCTGTCCTGAGGGGCCCTGGAGCCCTTCGTGAGCTTCGTGGCTGGGAAAGGGGACTGGGGCTTAGAAGTGCTTTTGTTTGTGTTCCCCACAGCTCTGGTTCTGTCTCAAGTTACGCTGAGTGTAGGTATGAGAGGCTAAGTTGTATCCGGTGGGGTCAGTGGCAAGCATTCAAAATGAGTATAGGAAATCACAAACATATTTTGGAAGGGTGCTTAAACTTTGCTCTAGGTTTCAGTTGTAATAAGCCTAAAATTAACAGATCTTACTTAGTCACCACTTCAAGCACAATGATTCTGAAGAAGTTACAGAATCACGGACTGGTTTGGATTGGAAGGGACCTTAAAGCTCATCCAGTTCCAATCCCCTGCCGTGGGCAGGGGCACCTTCCACTAGACCAGGTTGCTCGAAGCCCCGTTCAGCCTGTCTTCTGATAGCACCAAAGTTTAATGAGTAGCGTACGGTTTATACAGAGGCTGTTTGCAGAAGGTAACTGTTCTGGAAAGTGATACTAGAAATATTTAATAATTACCTAGTGCATTTCATTTTTAAAATAATCTTGAAATTGCACCATATGCAATGTGGCGTTATCCTAAAAGTAATTATGGAAAGTGAATCAATGAGGTGGAGTGACTTATCAAGACAGCTTAGTCAATTATTGACAATCACAGTGCCTTATACCTGATGATGTTTTCCTTTGATTCAACCTGCTTATGCAGATTTGTATCTAAAATGATGTTAAATACTTTATTAATATAGTGTATTTCTTTTAAAGACACACATACTTGGGTTCAGAGCTTTAAATCTGAATGCTGCAGAATTGTGTTCGTGGAAACTGGCAAGTGAAACTAACTGAAAACCCCAGTGAAATCTGTTTTGAAAGGTTTTTATTTTTTTTTTGCCAGTTAAAAGCAAATAGATCCTGTTTATTAGGATATGCATGTTTGCAGTATCACTGTACTTTGCAGGACAATTTACATGAAATACTGAAGATTGTGATTTCTCTGTGAATCACACAAGCCTGTCATAAAAGGTGAACTGCATCCTTAGAGCAACTTACTTAGAAATCAAGTAAATTTCAGTCTTTGAGCAGCAGAGGGGAAAGCTGCTTAGACAGTAGATAAACTCTTCAGTGAACTTAATAGCAAGATAAAAACAAACCCTACACCCTCCAAACCTTCTCCTCAGTTTTAAATTCAGTCTGTGGTAGGTTTTTTTGGTTATTGATTTGTTGTTTTTTTTTAGTTTATTTATTTTTACCCGAGTAGTTTAGTTACCAAATTTTTCTTATAATTAACACTTCTGAGATGATGTATGAAGCAGCTTAGAGGTATTGATAATGGTATAGTGATCTCTCTAGAATCATTTATGTAAAAACTGAAGACACAGTATCAACAAGACTCACAACGAACAGCTGAGAGCGCTGGGGTTGTTTAATCTGGAGAAGGCTCATTGGGGACCTTACTGCTCTCTACAGGTACCTGAAAGGAGGTTGGAGCAAGGAGGGTGTCAGTCTCTTCTCCCCGGTACTGCACTAGGACAAGAGAAAATGGCTTCAAGTTGCACCAGGGGAGGTTGACTATTAGGAAAAATTCTTCAGTGGAAGGGTTGTCAAGCATTGTAAAAGGCTGCCCAGGGAAGTGGTTGAGTCGCCATCTGTGGAGGCATTTAAAAGTCCTGTAACGTGTTTTTTAGGAACATGGTTAATTGTGGTTGTGGCAGTGTTAGGTTAAGAGTCTGACTTAAAGGTCTTTTCCAATCTGAATGGTTCTGTGATTCTGTAAAGGTTGACATAGATCATTTGGATATTTACATATAAAACTATGCTGATGCTCAATGCTTTATAACTGGATTTTGTCACAGAACACTTGGTTCAGATCTTTAAACATGTCATATAAGTACTTTGTGCATAATTTGCCTATCTGTGTGATAGATATCCCGCTCTCCTACCCAAGTTAGTATGAGCTTCCTTGGTATGTTTAAAGTGTCACTAGATTAACTGAAAAGGTGTCTCCTTAAAAGTATAATGTATTTGCCCTCTTTTACCTGGAGAGTCTTACAGGTTTTAGATAGCTCTTTTACTATTGTTCTCTTTTGTTTTCATTTGCAGACAAATACACGTAGGAAGTTGCAAACTGTTGTTTTTGATGATAGCATCTCTTTATTACTTTATTTATTGACTTTCTCATCACTGCTGCTTTGCTATATGTAGCAGAACAATTTCCCTACTTAGAGAGGAGGACATAAGTGACACCAAAGACTGGTATCATCTTGCCAAGTGGCAGCTGGACAGGTTGCTTTTTATAGTAGGTCCACAGAAATGGGCACCTGCCGCTTGGCTAAGCACAGGCACATATAACTCACAATAATAAAGTTTTATGGGTTTTAGATTAATACTGGATATTTATTTAACATTGGCATTTTTGTTTTGTTTTTGTACTTAGCAATCTCTCAAAAGATGGCACAAAGCTGTCCTTTCCTGGATATTTGTGAGTCTGACTTCAGGCCTCTGGTAGTAATTGAGCTTGCCAAAAGTGCCAAAGCGGAAACTATAGAATGGTTCACTAAAAGAATTGTGGACAAAAAAGCAAAGGGAGGTGAGTACAGTATGACCTTCTGTAACACTCTGAAATCAAATTGGCTGTCATCATAGTATGAATTCCTAGAAAACCAGTTTTCAGGTAGTCTGTGGTAATTATTCTTTAATTACCCATTTTGCCCACTCCATTTTGCATTTTTTGAAGTTGTTTAATTGTATACAAGAGTAGAGCTTCATGCTGGTATGATGAAAATTTAATAACTGAACCCAGTTATTAATGGAAATATCAGTTTAAGGTCACATGTCTGTTAAACTCTAGAATCCTTCAGGTTTTTTTTTGGTGAAACAGTGATAATCTGTCTTTCAATGTAGTTTTGATACCAGTTTTTATAGTAATTGTCTAGAGTATCCTTCTGTTGCTTCTTATGAGAACATTCTAAGCCTTGTGAAAATGAAGGCACATCACATCTACTGTCCTGTCTAGTACTGTTTTGTAGAATGGAGATAGCAGTAAGCAAGTTAATCTTGATAAATTCATGTTGGATTTTAATTTTTGTTTTGGTAGCTTGTGGGCTTGTACAAAGACTTCATTACTCAGTTTAGTGTATTACTCAATTCCAGGAATTGAGGTTAGGCTAATTAATTTGTAATTCCATAGACTGACTGGGATGGGTTTTTTTTTGACATTTTTTAGAAAGACATTATTTATGGCTGTTGTAGCTTGTACCTTACAGTCACTAATATTTCTGTGGCTGTTGGATTTGTGGCTAAAAACTTGCTTTCAGGCCTCTGTTAGATAAGTCAGAAATGTTTCTATTTCAAAAGTCTCGTCTCCTTAAAAAGAGTGGGGCCATTTATAGAAGCATCAGTTGCTTACATGATGTGACCACTAGGGGAAAAGATCGAAGCTAAATAAGGGGGTGACCCTGCAAGACTTCAGGTGCTGTTGAAGCCTTAATTCGTTGTGCCCTTATGCAGCTTCAGCACTCCTGATAGCTAGGTCCAGTATGATGGATGCTAAAACGTGAGGGGTTTGAGGCTTAATTTTAATGTATTTTTCTTCCTTATTTTGCCTTTCTTTAAAGGTGCACAACTGCTGGTTAAACCATTGCTCACAGAAAAAGAAGGTGAAAATATATATCTAGTTGGAGCTTCCCACTTAAGGCTGTTGCTGGGAGCTGAAACTGTGGGTTTGGTGAAGGAATGTAATGATAACTCAATGAGAACTTTTACATATAGCAGCAGAAAAACTTTCAAAGATTTTGCAGGTATGGAATTTTAGGGGTCTTTGGCATTGGAAAGCTATGGCTAAAGATAAGCAAATACACTGCTAAATATTTTATGGTCTTTTTATTCCTGGGGATGGTAACAGTGAGCAAAAATGGAAAGAACAAGCCATGAAAAAATACTTATTTTTACCTATGGGAATTCAGATCATATAATGAAATTAAAATTGTTTTTCCTTTCACATGGCTTTCACTTTTTGCTTGCGTTTGACTTTATGCTTTTGCGTGGTCCAAATATTCTCTTAGTTGTATGAAAGTATTTTGTTGAAATGAAGACAAAAAAAAAAAAGGTTGAGAAATGTGAGTGCAGGATTAACTATCAACATTATGAATTAAAGGAATTAAAGTAGTAGTCTAGTTTCTGTGAGCCAGTTTTGAGGCTTATCTTAGAATTAGCTGGAGAAAACATTTTCAAAAATACATTTGAAAATCATTTTCCTATTATATTTACACATCAAACAAAAATAACACTACAGAGCCATGCAGTGGAATTTGGGCATGATTAGTGAAATAATCCCTTTTCCTTTTTAATTTTGAGGTGGTGCCAACACAGTAACATTCTGTCTTAAATGTGTTACCTGTACGATATTTAAACTCCTTACAGTAGCAAAGCTTATTTTCCTGTCCAGGTAAACGTTTGAATTCAACCTTAATCTTGTGAATACTTTTCCTGTGCCTGTTTGGGTGATGACTTTCACCATGTTTTCAACAAAAGGCTGCTTGGGTCTGTCTGAAACTCAACTTTATTACTGTTTTATTGTTTGTTTGGTGTCAGTTTATCTAACACTGCTGCTGTGCACAATAACTGTTTGCAGTGTCTCTTCTCTTCCAACCATATTTTTCTGAAATTGGAAAGCCTGGAGAAGAATTGTCAGTTGCAAAGGTCATTTCTATTTCTTTCGTGTGTTTATATCCTTAATGCTAATCTGACTGCCATTGCCAACAGATTCTGTAGTAGCAGCAGGAACTCCAACTACTGTAAACCTGAAAGATAATTTTTTTTTTTTAACACTAATATAATTTTAGTTTTATCCAGATCTGATCAGAGGATAAAGTAATTGACCATGCTTACATGAGGTGAAAAATGAGTCATCTGAAAAAGAAACCCTGCAGCCTGTGTTTCTTACTAGGATTTCTAGTTCCCCAATTTACCTGATACTTTATTTTTCATCTTAAGAGATTTGTTGCTGGTTTGGCTTCTTAGTTAGTATATTCAGGGCCATACTTATAGCTTCTTATTCCTGAGGGGAAAAAATAATCAATTGGTCATTATCTCAAGGAAATTACAGTTTCCTTGATGGTAAATTGATGGGGTTGACAATAGTTGTTACTGTAGCTCTTAAAAATTCACAATTTTTTGAGATGTTTCTTACTTTGTTTTATGTTATTTATCTATTTTTATAAGAACTCATTGTCTCAAGTAGCATATAATTGGGTTGTATGGGCAATAAAGAGCAAGATACTGTGATATTTGGTGTGAAATGGTTATTGAAAAAGAGATTTGTCCTGACATCTTACTGGGTTTTCGTATGAAAATACTTCAGTAACTGAATGGCAGAAGGGTGTATGAAGGTTCTGGGATTGGCAAATAGTGGATGCCTAAGTAATAGCCTTTCAGAAGGGCAAGAGTATGCAGTATTTGCTGGTATACTATCCCAGCCTCCAGCTATTAGCACTTAGGGGTGTTCTTGTTTCTTGAGTGATTCATTTTCTTAGTTCACCGGGGCAGCCAAAACTGTACTGGCCAACATGTGCTGGTTAGAGAAAACATCTTCCCAAGATGTGTATTTTAAATAGTGGAGTTTTTGCTAATGGATGTTGATTGGCAGTAATTGTCATGTTGGGGTTTTTTTTCTTGATTCTGGTTGGTTTTGATTGTTAATTGCTGCCAGGGTTGTCTTTCAGTGCTGCAGAGTTTCATACTACCTTCTTTTTGATTTAGATGACAATCACGAATTTCTTACAATGGCAGAATGTCAGTATATCATCAAACATGAACTCGAAAATTTGAGAGCTAAAGATGAAAAAATGATCCCTGGATATCCTCAGGCAAAGCTGTATCCAGGAAAATCAATTGGTAAGCCAAGTATTTTATCCTATGTAATTCACTGTGTTGATGTAGGACAGTGGAAAAAAAGTAAATGTCCTGCAGTGAAGAGAAATCCTTCAGACACTGAAATCCCACTATTTGATCAACTTTATTTTCTCATCACTCCACAGTAATAGGGCAAGAGGTAATGGATGCACAGTGCAACCGGAGAAATTCTGAATAAATATTGAGAACATGTTTTTCACAATGAGGGTAATCAAACATTGAAACAGGGGTTTAGAGAGATTGTGGTAACTGTCCTGTGAGACTTTCAGATCTTCTCTAGACAAGGCCCTTAGCAGCCTGATACAAACTGGAGCTACTCTGCAAGTTGGACCAGATGACTCCCAGAGAGGTTTCCATCCTCAGTTTTCTGTGAGGATGAGACTCTGGCCTTATGTTCTTTTCAGTTGGATAATTGTCATATATATTGATGTCATCCGTTATTTTTATAAGTAGTAGCCAAAATATTTGGTTTTAAGAAAATTACATAATGATATACTTGGATTGGTTTTGTATAAAATGGCTGGAATGAATAACAGTGTTCCAGAGCTATAAATTTCACAATATGAAGGAAGGTTTTTTTCAATCGTTAGAATTCATTTATCCTCCCCTTTGCTTCAAGAGCTCCCTTTTCATGGGAGAAAGAAGAAATGAGAGCTAGTGCTGTATTTATGGTAGCTGGAACTAATTCATTGGCAGAGATGCTGTAGTTTCTTAGGAGAATTTCTCTTTATACTTGTATGTCCTTTTAATAAGTGTCTTTATTCACTAGTATTGATCATCAAAGAAAGAGCATATCAGTAGCTCAAGAAATGTGAATGAATGTAAATGTCAGATGAGTTTACACTAATTATTGTTTATATAGCTGTTTATATTTTTCTAGTTAGGTGAAGTAAATGCTGAGTGGAAGTGGTAAGTAACTATCGTACAGCTTCCAGTGCCTACCCTCTCCTTGTTTTGCATTTATTTTCTTCTTAATATTTGTATGGTTGTAACTTCCAGTTTGTTAGTTGTTTATCCGTACAGGTAGTATTGCTTTCCATAACAAAGTTAAATACAAATTGTCACTATTTGGTTTGTTTGCAATGAAGATGTGTTGTAATTTATGAATTAGTGTAAACTGATATTTCACATTGGTAATTCAAAAATGTTTTTAGTATGTTTTCCATAATACAAAAATGGTTCTTCAATTTAGTGTTTTGTTATGTCTTTCTTTGCTTGCATGCAAGATCAAGGTCTTTCCCCACAAAGCTACACATGGCGTTTCAGTTCTGACCTATAGCACTTTCTACTTTTCAAGCTGCAACTCATTATAGTACAAACCTATGGAATTGTTAATTGATACAAAAAGATTGCTCTTTCTCTTCCAGTGGACTGCACAGTCCTTGTAGGAAGAGGTCCAATTGCTCTCTATAATGAATAATTTTCAACTAACGTGCAGATAATTTGTTTTTAGGATTTAACTGCTAGATTGATTTCAAAGGAACTGTAGGCTTGCTAAGTACATCATGTGACCTGTCTGCTTATCTCAACTTCACCGTCTTTGAAGCAGTACTAGGTATTATTTTTTTAATTTTTCCTTCTAGTGAGAAGATTATTGACCAGTGGTATTCTAGTTCAGATTTTCCCACTGCAGGATAGAGAAGAGTTGAAAAAGCTCTGTCACAGCTGGTATGGTCGAGTGAAAGTTGGCTATCAACCATTAGGTATGTGAATACTTACTCCACTACAAATAAAGTGCAGGGTTTCTTTTGGAGAAGTTTTCAGTTTGTGTGAGAAGACCAAGGGTCCTTCCCAAAAGTGAAACTTGTGTGGAAGGTAAGTATTATACCAAGAAGTCTGTTTTTTCAGTAACTCTTTACCTTTTCACATCTCCAGTTACCCACTGCAGTTCACTTCTCCTAACACTGCCTTTCTGCCCAAGTTGCTTTGCTGTGAACCAAAGTCCTTGTTTTACCTATCTTTGCTTTTACTGGTCTTGGAATTGACAGAGTGGCTTAGGCTCTGGTTAAGGAAGGATCCGTGTTTCCAGATTTGTTGACATGCGCAGTTGAGGTCTCTGCATCAAATTCTGCATCATTCTAAGATGGCCATAGGATAATCTTTTGTTGTAACAACTTGCAGCACAACTGTTCTCGAGTGAAGCACTGGATGTGCACTTTATTTTCTTTCTCATGGCTGTAGGAGTTCTGTACATAGGCTTTTGGTCACAGTTTCCAAGTTGGAGCTGGGAGAAAGTTCAAAGGGCTTAGCTTTTGCACTGTGATCATCTAGCATAGCATCTTGAAGTTGGACCATTGTTCTTTTACCAGATGGGGAAGTTTTTTCTTATTCTAACATTCCCCGTGTAACCTCCCAAAATGGTTCAGGACTTGTGAAATTGGTAGTTCAGAATTTGCAGATTCAGTGTCTGTGAGCTTCCATATAACAAGTCTGTACATCACAAGTGCTCCTGATCTGTAAAGCAGTAATGGACAAAGTCACGACTGTTTTCTCTTGACAGGAAAGCTCCTCAATGTCTGGAATTCCCAAAACTATTTTGAGTCGTAGGCATGTCAAAAGTGTGTTTACAGCGGTTTGTTTTAAATTCATTATCTGTATGAAGACTGTATGTTGTTGCAAGCCAGCATCACTGAGTATATTTTCCACATTGAAGAAGCTTAAAATGAAAATGATTTTCTAGCCTGCTAATGTTTAAAGTTAAGTTCCGGATTCTAAACCTGTAAACCTTACTTAAAAATAAGAAAATAATCATTTGAGAGTTTGCCTAACTATTAATCTCTGCACCTTGCAGTTGCTTGATAGTTTTTTTGAGCTACAGGAAGTTAAAGATCTGACTTGATAATGCCTGCCTGCAGAGTATTGTGTTAGGGGTCTTACTGTGTGCTTGTCTTTTGTTTATGTAAAAGATACATATTTTTTGACTGACACTGAATACACACAAAATTTCAAAGTAAATACCAGGAGCCCTGTTACGTGTGTACTGATTTAGGGCTTTCTTTCTGTGTGTTTAAAGTGTGAAATGGTACTAATGACCTACACTTGAACTTGTCAGTAAATTTTATATTAAGAGGGATGTTGGAGTGCTGATTCTGTCTGCCTTTCCTTCTTGCTTTCAGTGACTGATTGGCAACTGTGAATTTCTGCTGTAGTGTTTTGTGAACCATAAGCTGTAAGAATATTCTGGTATTGCACGAAAGGTTTTGATGTGCTAGTCTATTATGGAGATGACATTTACAGTGTCAGTTCAGAGGTCATGATGTCGTGACTGGTGAATAATTCTGTTAAGCTGGTGAATACATAGCAGTGGCATACAAGCAATCTGGTCTTCCAGGTGGGCAAAGATAAAGCAGATTTCAGCATTCTAAACTTGGTTTGCTAGGAATTTCTAGATCTTATTGTGGGATGCTATGTCTAGATTGTGTTGGATAGTACTACTGCATTTTTTTTTATTAGTAGAAAGATAGATGACATCTTGGCCTCCTTGGAGGTAATACATCTGTTGTGAAATGTATCCATTAGCATCCACTTTTCAAGTCTTTGTAACAACTAGGCAGACAATCTTGGTGAGTACAACCAGTGTGTATTTCATATATCAGTTGTCTGCTGAAGGGAATGTCTCAGCCTGGCTCTACTATCTGACATCTTTAAGATTTCAGTATACCTTTCCAGCTATTCCTTTAGTTCCTTGAGGGCTGGCAAAGCACACCTAGTCCTTTTCGGACATGAGTGGGCTGGAACAAATTTGTTTCCCAAGTGTATATATGCCAGTGACAAGCTTCAGAAGTTAGATGTCACTTGCTGTTAAAGTTTGGTTTTTCATGATACCTGTTGCCTTCTGTGTCATCCTAGCCATTCAGTGGTAGGTGCTGTTTGCAAGAATGCTTTTGGTTTCTCTCTCTGCCCCATGTATTTGATACTGATATGGTAAGTACTGAGATACCTGAATTCCCTGCCATGTGATTATATGTACATACGTTTCTGTATGTGTGTATATGTAACATAAAAAAATAATAATTCTGATAACCTTCTGAGGTTTTGGAACATGGGAGAAGGCAGAATAAAAGGGTGTATAATATACACTGTGTTATTTAGAAAAAAATGGGCCAAGGGGCTCATGTAAAGTCAAGTTTGATATTATACTGACATCTGGGTTAAGTGTAGTCTTGATTGATTTGTTTTTCTCTGCAGATGAGATACGCTGCTACTTCGGTGAAACCATTGCACTCTACTTTGCCTTCTTAGAGTATTTCACATTTGCTTTGATCCCAATGGCTGTTATTGGGATTCCTTATTATGTGTTTGCATGGGAAGACTATGACAAATACGTGATGTTTGCCACATTCAACCTTCTCTGGTCCACTGTGATACTGGAAGTTTGGAAGCGGATTTGTGCCACCATAACATACCGTTGGGGGACGCTGCTGATGAAACGCCAATTTGAAGAACCAAGACCAGGCTTCCATGGCATCCTGGGTATTAATCCCATCACTGGGAGGGAGGAACCAGTGTACTCAAGTATTAAGAGACAGCTACGGATTTATCTGGTGTCCTTACCATTTGTGTGCCTTTGCCTCTACTTCTCACTGTATGTGATGATGATGTACTTTGATTTGGAAGAATGGGCTCTGGATTATCATGAGGAGAATGACTCTAACTTCAGCAGCTTGATGCTGTTTGTGCCCAGTATCATATATGCTGTTGTGATTGAAATTATGAACCGTATCTATCGGTATGCTGCTGAATTCTTAACATCATGGGGTAAGAAAGTTGTTTACTCTTCTTCCTTAAAGTTGGAATCACAGATGTTTAGAATTTGTTTCTTTGTAGAATACATTACTTTGAATTCTTGTTCAGTGGGATGCTAATGAAATTTCCTGAAGTAGAGTTTTACTGTGGGGTAGAAGAGATGGCTATTTTAACTTATATTTATTTTGAGGGTTCTGAAACTGTAGTTTCCCGTTTGGTTTAATTAAAGTCTAGCATGCCATCAGAAGTGATCCTGCCTTCCTCCTCAGCCTCTCTCTGCCTTTGCTGCAGAGCTCTCATTTCCATTTAGCTCTTTATTTGACTGTATCAATAGCAAAATTAAATGTCGGTTTTGCTGAGGTGAGCTCAGAGGTGGATGACCAGAGGGACTGCCCTGGCAGTTGCACGTATAGCCTGGGTTTGCTGAGTACATCTTGGTCTACTGATTTATCTGTCCAGAGAATGGAGGCACTGAGATAGTGGAACAAAGTCTAAAAATACCAACTAAATGTCATATGAGAGTGTTTGTGTATGCTATATATATATATATATATATATATATATATATACATATATAAAAGACTAAGATTTCATGTCCCTATTGAAATATTTTCCTCTGGGCACTCTCAGAAGAGGTGGGGTGTTATAATAGATTGCTTTTTTTCCCTAGTGTGTGTGACTTAACAGATTGGGTGTTATGTTTTGTAACCTAACATAAAGATAGTGAAATGTTAGTCTTTGTTTTGAATTTTAGCACTTCTATAGACATGTGCAGTCATTTTCAGACAAAGGTAATAGGTGACGCTAATGGGGAGTTAACTGGTTTGTGTATACGTTTACAGTACAGAATCCAGGTTACTAAAGCTGGACACCCAGAAAATTAACCTAAGAAAGATTAAGCGAAAGGGAGTTTCATGTGGAAGTCAGAATAAAAAGAGGTGTTAAAGTGTGAATTGGTTTGGCACACAGAAATTATTTGCTCAGTAAATTGTACTTGACAGCAGCAATAGCAAAAGCAGGCAATCTCTTGATTTGTTTCTGGCTGTTCAAGGTTTATATTTAAATAATGGCTTTTAAATTCATATTTAGGTTTCAATTGATCCCCTCCTACCTGGCAGCTAATACCTGATTTAAACAGATAGACTGACAAAGCATAGGAAACTATATGGGGTAATTTTTATCATACCTGTTTATCATGAGACCTGGTCATTTAGTAAAAATTGCATTTAGTCACTTGAGTGCATCTTCCATGTGTCGGGCCCACCTTCACGCCCCTGTCAGAGTAGAACTCTGCTGTTGTGTCCTGAGCAAGGTCTGGAGCTGAAGGTGTTTCCTTTTTGCCTTGTTGACACAGCTCTTGCTTGTGTGCTGCCTTCTCAGTTACTGCTCAGCCAAAGCTTTAAAGGTACAGTCTGACAAAATAGCAAAGAGAAATGGGAAATCTCCCATTCCCTTCCCTTTCCTCCCCCCCCATGCCACAGAAAATATATGGACCCAGTCAGAGATCAATATGATCAGACAAAAGCCATTTATTACAAAGCCTTAACCCCTTATATGCTACTTCTTACATGCACTTACAGTGATTTGGCATATTATGATTGGATACATATCTTGAAGACCCTTAGTGACTAATATGTAATTGGTTAAGCACAGGTGTGAGAACTTGACCTCAAAAGCTTGCCAACAGTCCACAGTTCTCATTAACTTGGTGAATTTCAGCTTCTTCTTATCTTGCTTGTTTAGGCTTCCTCGGGCCTCTCATGGCCTTGCTGTATCTTTCAGGATTATTCAGAGTTTAAGTACCAATTATCCATTCTCCTGCGAGAACACTGTCTCCACACCCCTAGTAACCAGCCTTCCTCAAACATTAGCTGCCAATAGTTTATTTGAAATGAACTGGAAAATCTTGGTTTTAGAATGAGTAATGCATCTGTTGAACTTCATGTACTCTAGCCTTGCTTTAGAACTTAGGGTCTGATCTAAATCCCTTGGACATGGATGGGAATATTTCTGTGAGCATTTACTGGGTTTGAATCAAATCTGATACTGATTTTCATAATGTATTCCAATTTAGCTTTGCATTTATTCAGCCAGAGAACAATCAATAACTAGGCACATTTTATTAAGTATTGAGAAGGATGGGTGTTTTCTCTGTTATAAAGCAGCTCTCCTGAGGAAGAAAGATATAAAAGGAAAAACCTTTGCAGTAGAAAAAGGACTGGAGTCGTATCCGAAAATATGAACATTAATACTGTGCATCAGATTAGCTTGACAGGTCAAGAGAGATACTGGTATAGTATAAATTCTTTCTGCCATGAAGTGCTTGAGGAGCTATTCCCCAAAACCTCTTAGTTAAGTGATTTTGAGATAGAGGAAAAGTGTCTGTTTACTCTTTGTATAACAGTGTCTGGCAGTGTTCAAGGCCAGGTTGGACGAAGCCTTGGGTGAGATAGTTTAGTGTGAGGAGTCCCTGTCCATGACAGGGGGGTTGGAACTAGGTGATCTTAAGGTCCTTTTCAACCCTAACTATTCTATGATTCTATGATATTGGCAAGTGCTTTTGCTGTTCACTAATCAATAATCTTGTTGGTATTTTAGAAAATCACAGGCTGGAATCTTCATATCAAAATCATTTAATTCTGAAAGTTTTAGTGGTAAGTATGCAGTATAAGTATATATAAACTTCAGAGCTTGATTATGATTTTTCAGATGTACAATACTGTGATTATGTCTCATTTTAGAAGTAGGGAATATTTCTCTTGGTTATAAACCCTCTTGAAGCGATTAAATATAAAGCGTAACTAATATATATTGAGGAACAGTTGTACATGTTGAGAGATCTGTCATCCAACACATATTTTAATAAAATATTTGTCTGAAAAAAAATCATTATCCTAAATTGAGATTAGTGCATCCCTTTTATTGTATTACCTATGGGGAAACTACCAAAAGATGAAAGTTAAGTAGAAGGTGACATCTTATTTTTAATGTCCACATTTCATAATTGAACTTTAGTTTTCTTTGTACACCATGCTTTAGAAAAGTATTAAGCTTGTCAAATGAAAATCTGAGTAAGACCATAATTGAAAATTTTAATGAATATGTGCGTGGAAACTGTTAGTCAGGTTAAGTTAGATGATATTCTGCATTTGAACTTTTGCTTAAGTACTAATAACAGATTTTTGTTTGCAGTTCAACTTCTTAAATTGTTTTGCATCTCTCTTCTACATTGCCTTTGTGCTGTTTGATATGCACCTTTTGAGGCAGGTGAGTTTCAAGAACATCTTCAGAATGTTGACAAATTTAGAAAAATAAAGGATTGACTGAAACAGGACTTTAGTTTTTAATTGCTTTTCTAAAATACTAACTTGACAATGAATATATTTCCTATGTATTTTCTTAGACAGCCAACATTTGTATTTCAGTTCCTCTGGCACAGTTGCAGAATTGTAATTGGAATGGAGCAGTTTTTCCCTTTGTTTAAATGAGGAACTGTTTTCTAATAAATTCATTATTCCCTCACACAGATGAGGCTGGAAAAAATTCATTTCCTTCTTCTTTCCCCTTTTGTTATAAAATGGTTTTCTCTCTAGCGCTCTTAATGAGATGCTCTTGAGGATCAAGTTTATGACTACCGTGTGGAGCTGAGAATAAATAAAACCAAAATAATTTGTAGTTGGTATTTTCCATCAGCTTTCTTTTGTTAATATTTTTTGCACTCAAATGCATGAAAATCAGGTATAAGAAAAAGACATTTTTTTCTTTAAATGTAATAAACAGAACAGCAGAACTTTAACTCAAGATCTCTCTTCTCTGAAGAGAGCTTTAGCAAAACAATTGACATACCTATACCAGACATGACATTTGTGACATGTAATATACTCCAATGTTTACTGTACTGTCTCCAAGAGATGTCCAGATGCATGAAGTACTTAGACATCTAAGTCTATTTTGTTGTTTTCAGCACAGAAAAATTAATGGAGAAGTTCTTTTCTGTCAGGGTGGTGAGGCACTGGAACAGGTTGCCCAAAGAAGTGGTAAATGCTCCATCCTTGGCAGTGTTCAAGGCCAGGTTGGACAGAGCCTTGAGCAACATGGTCTAGTGTGAGGTGTCCCTGCCCATGGCAGGGGGGCTAGAACTAGATGATCTGAAGGTCCTTTCCAACCCTAACTTTTCTGTGATTCTAAGGGGGACTAGAACACCTATACTTTTCATATGCTGTTGCTAGTTTCGTTAGGCTGGCCCTCTTTTGTCATAGTATAACAACTTACAGTGTTACTAGAGTGCACAGAATTGGAAACTATCGTAGGTTTATCACAGTTCTATTAATTTTAATTACTTTTTCTTCTTTTTTTTTTTTTTTCTTTTTTTTGTAACTTAAGAGCTTGGCCACTTTGCTGATAACTTCGCAGATCCTCAATCAGTTGTCAGAGTCCTTGCTTCCTTACTGGCTCCGAAAGAGGTATAACAAGAGGATGAAGGAACGCCTGTGTTCTCCGAAAATTGATAAAGACCTGTCATTAGTTGAACAAGTCAACTTGGAGAAAGAAATGGGCACCTATTGTGTATGTTTTATTACTGTAAATGAGTTCAGACTTTTCTGGGTTGTAGTTGACAAAGATATGAACCTGTGCAACCTGAAATATTTCTGGCTCTCTGGCCTGGCAGCTTATTTCCAGCTTCGTCAGTTCTGCTAATAGTGTTGTTTATACAGCTTTGTGATGTGCTGGATCAAGAAAACGAAACAGTGCAGGATCCCAGTTACACTAGAATGAAGGATAGGAATGAACAGCTGAATCTGGAATGACCTAACCCTGTATCACTGGAAGAAGTACTTATGTAATATGCCCTTAATCTCCAAGGGTAGCTTGAAAGCTACAGTGATGAGTAGCTTGGCATAGGGAAGGGGGAGACTGTCTCTGTTTTAGTTTGGTTTTGCAGCGATAGTAGTTTAAACTGTCAATTAATATAGCCCGAGAGAGTGCACTTAGTCTGCATGGTGCCAGAAATGGAGGGTGCAGAAGAGACTAATTCTGCAAACCAGTACTACTGCTGGAAGTTCTTGCTTCTTAAAACTACAGCTTTGGCATTTGCTGTCTTCCTAGTTCTATTCCTGACCACCTCTTTTAATTTTAATCGTATTTAACAGATTTTTGCAATGTAGTACGTGCAGTTCTAAAGGAATTGACAAAGTAGACATCAGTGTATATGCTAAGGCCTTACAGACTGACTGACAGCTTGCTTGATCAGATGCTGCAAGCATAGTCACAAGAGTCTTAATACTGTATGATTTATACTTTCACAGAGTAAGAATTATATGTAGACAGTGAACCTTTTGTGTAAGACAGTTTGAAATGTGTTAGTAATACTATGTCAGATTCCTCTCTTATTGCATAAAATGCCATGAAGTGGGAAGAGGAAAAAGAAATACTACCTTTGCAATTGGAAAACTGTACAAATGTTAACACTTGGCTTCCTCTGGGAAGGTTGGTATTTCCAACATATTAGATGGAGGGAAACAGATTTAGAGAACGTGTCTGTCTGTAAAGGGAGAACACAACAGAAATCCCTGCATTAGTGTCTGAACTGGTAAGTCAGCACAGTCCACCACTGTGCCTGCAAATAACAGAGCTCTAAAAGCTGTGTGTTGGCATGAGGCATGGATATACGTGACAAAAGTAAGTTCTGCCTCTTAGACCTGAGCTGACTTCTCATTCTCAGCTGGCACATGAAAAGCCAGTGCGTTGTCTCTGAGTCGCACTGTGTAGTGCTTTTTGTGCAGGTCTGGATCAATATATCTGCACCTGTTGAACTGTTCTGCCCTGAATAGTTTACCACTGGGACCCGACAGGTCAGTTATAGGTACAGTTTTGCCTTGGAGTTGTCCACTGCTAGCCCCAGTTTCAGTTCAAGATACTGTTTACTCAAGGCCTTAGTGTTATTTTGAATCTAAAGATTTTAATTGTGCTGTGCTTGTGAATATATGATACTAGACCACTGATTTGTCTGCAAGCTGTGAGCTGCCAGCAGCCAAGAGTATTTCTTAAATTAAATCTGTCACAAGGGGGAAGCATTTGACTATGTTTAGTAGACGAGTTTAGCAGGAGTCTTGACAGAATTCTGTGTTTCAGGCTCTTCTGTTTTCTTTCACTTACTCTAGCATTTAATTCTCTTTTTTGTCCTCTTTCTCTCTCACTTTTCAAATCTCCAGCCTTTAACTGAGTTTAAGCTGTAAAAACATCTTGCAGTATATGTATTTTAAAACTTTCTGCTTCTCTTTTCTAGTTCATTTTTTCCCTGAATTTCTTTGTTGATTCTGTTCCCTTGATGAAATAGTTCATGTGCCGCTCCTGTGGGTGACAATGGCACACTTGGTAATTGCTTTAACATCATATCAGACTCCTTTTTCTGCAAAAAGTGTCATTAATTGAGTAGGAGGAAAAGAAATACTCCTTTTATTTTCATACTCTAAAAGTCGATAGGTACTGGGGAAACAAATAAGAAAGGTGTGAGGAAGCAATGGGAATATTGTGCAGTTACCAGCAGTAGGAACTCAGAAGGATTGCTCCCTGCTTGCAACAGTTGTCTGAGAAAGTGATAGCAGGGACAAATGTGTGACTGCTACTCCCATGAGTGATCCCGGACAAGTGTCCCTAACGATGACCTTAGTAAAATTCAGAGTTTGTACAAAATGTTTCCATAGAAAAATCTCAGTGGTTTTAAGTTAAGCTGCACACCCAACTATGTAGTGTGCAGCTTGAAAATTACTTGAAGATGGTTCTTCACTTTCACAAATAATTGCTGCAATCTATGAATATTATAAGTAATAGAAAACTGATATGCAAATATATATAATGATCTACATGCGAATAATCAGCATTTATGTACCCACATTCTTGGTTTAAAGATCAGGTGATAGATGCGCTGCAGAGTTGCTAAAACAGGGTTTTTTGTTGCACTAACTGTTCCTTTCAGATGTCAGTGCTGCATTCTGTCATTTCAGCCTTCCAGTGTGCCACTGATTCTGGTTCACCCCATTTGAAATAAGCAAGTAGAAATACCAGAAAAGAGTCGTCTATCTACCAGCTGACCTTTCTGGTTAGGTCTTTCATAGACAGTCTGAAATACTAGGACTTTTCTTGTCACAGTGCTTTTGGGAGAATGTTCTGCCAGTGTAAATGCCTGGTGCTATTTTCCAGTCCCACACAATTCATTCTGTAACTGTTTCACTGGACTAGCCAGGAACATGAATGAGATTAATGTGTTATACAATTACTTCATGTAATAAGGATAAAAAGTATGACTCGCAAAAAATGCATTAGGCAAAAAGAAAAACTTCGACCTCCTCTTATTAAGAAGTTTTAAGTAATTGAAGCATTCCAGGTTAACTAGATGGTTGGGTTGTTTGTTGTTGTTTTCTATCACCAGTTATTCGAAGCAACTGATTTGGGATGAGGCAGCACATTTATAACTATATTGTTAATTCTTTGTTTGTTCACAGTTTTTGTGGATAAAATTTGTTCTTATTTTTGCTTTTTCAGGGAACTTTTGATGACTATCTGGAGTTGTTCTTACAGTTTGGCTATGTGAGTCTTTTTTCATGTGTTTATCCACTGGCAGCTGTCTTTGCAGTGTTAAACAACATCACCGAAATATATTCTGATGCCTTAAAGATGTGTAATGTTTACAAGCGTCCATTTGCAGAACCCACAGCAAATATTGGTGTTTGGCAGGTAATTTCTGTGTCTTAATATATTTTGAAAGAGGTTTCAGCAAACATGTTTAAGCTGTTTGACCTATCTGCCACTTTAAAGTTTAGCAGGTACTTTGTTCTCTTCAGTGTCTTAGGATAGTATCTATCCAACTGTATGTCCAAGTGTTTTGGGTTTTTTTTGGTAGGATTTTTGACCAGATGTCTTCCAGTTGCCTTTGAAAAGAAAACAAAGCCTTTAGTGTTTGTAGATATGTGTATTGTACTCCTGTTGCAACTGCAACAAAGCAAAGCAGCCAGATACTGCCTTAGTACTCTTTGACCGGGGTTTAGTTTGAATTCCTAATAGAGCCAGTGGCAATGCCTGGTACCAATATAAATTAGTTTCCTGACATATTTTACTAATTTGTTGTTTAATCAGATGGTTCATCTTTTACTTGCCCACTGGTCTGAGGCCTATATGGAACATGTAGTTGCCAATCAGTTTCTAATTTTTTGCTAATTTCTTGTAACAATTTTGCACTAAAGTGTGAACCCCGGTCGGAAGAAATTGCTGCTGGTACTCCAAAATATTATTTCATTTAATAATATTTTAATCACCTGTCTTGCATTATTTATCCTACAAGGGAATGCTTCTGGCCAGTCTGAAAAAGTATCTGTTAACACCAACAAATATCAATAGCCCCCTTTTCTTGGTAACTCAGAAAAGTCTATTTGCCACTGCTGTCCCGGATAACTTCCTCTCCCAATTGTCCCAATTTGATTTCTGTTTTCAGTTTTAGGATTATTCTTAAGACATAACTGACATTGTTTTGTCACTAATTGAACCGTGATGTATAGATTCCTTCCTACAATTTGTTTGTCTAAATATTTATACAAAGAATTGCTACCCCAATGAGTTTTATTATGTTCTTCCTGAACTAACTTCCAGAGCTGGTAATAGGGAATTACAGTTCGACCATCAGGTATTTGAGCCCAACCGTCTTTATTTTCCTGTCCCTCTAGATCCTCAATCAATTTTCTATCCTTTTTTGAGTACCTAAGTTTAGATTTTTCAATTGTTAGTTTGCCATCAGGGATTAAGGACATGATTTGAGATTGTTCAGCTGCTCGTTTGGCTTCAAAATCAGCCAAATTATTTCCAGTTTCCTGATCAGAGTCACCTTGTTGATGTCCTTTACAGTACATAATAGCTACTTCTTCAGGTAGCTGAACAGCTTCCAGTAACTGTAAAATTTCTGTAGCATGTTTAATCTGTTTCCCTTGTGTATGCAAAAGTCCTCGTTCTTTCCAGATAGCACCATGTGCATGCACCACACCAAATGCGTATTTAGAATCAGTCCAGATATTTATCCTTTTACCTTTAGCCAATTCCAAGGCTCTTGTTAATGCTATTATTTCTGCCTTCTGTGCAGAGGTGTTTGCAGGTAAAGGTTTAGCTTCTATTACCTGTGAAGTGGTGGTGACAGCATATCCTGCCTTTCATTTACCATTTTTTCATGAAGCTGCTACCATCAGTAAACCAAGAATCAGCATCTTCCAGAGGGTTTTCTTTCAAGTCTGGTCAGCTCAAATATACAGTCTCTATGGTGGTCAAGCAGTCGTGGGTTAGTGGTTCTGTCAACTGTTCCTGCAAAAAGGATCCTGGATTCACAATGTTAGTGACCACAATTTCTGTATCATCCTGTTCTACAAGGGTGGCCTGGTATTTTAAGAAACGTGAAGGAGATAACTAGTGGGCTCCTTTCTGCTCCAGGACTGCCAATACTACATGGAACACTAGTACAGTAATCTTTTGTCCCAAGGTGAATTTGCGGGCCTCTTCAATATTCACGATGACTGCTGCCACAGCCCTTAGGCATCCGGGCCATCCTTTGCTCGCTTCATCCAGCTGTTTTGAAAAATACGCCACTGCCCTTCTGTATGGTCCTAGTTTCTGAGCAAGGACCCCCAAGGCTATTCCTTGTTTTTCATAGGAATATAGCCAAAATGGTTTGGTCACATCCGGAAGTCCCAGAGCTGGAGCTCTCATTAATTCTGTCTTTAAATTTCTAAAAGCCTCCTCTGCTTTTATCAGTCCAGTCCAAAGAAGGAGGGTTTCCCTTCAACAGTTCATAGAGTGGTCTTACCAGAACATCATAATCATGGATCCAGAGTCTGCACCATCCTGTCATTCCCAGGAATGTCCGGAGCTCCTTGATGAGTGATGGTCGTGGAGTCTTGCAAATGGCTTATTTCCTGGCAGTTCCAAGTTCTCTCTGTCCTCCTTTATTTCATATCCTAGGTAGGAAACTCGGGTTTGGATTAGTTGGGCTTTTTGTCTGGATACCCGATAACCATTCAGTCCCAGAAAATTTAATATTTCAACTGTCCACTGGATGCATTCTTCCTTTGTTTCTGTAGCAATTAACAGGTCATCCACATACTGTAACAGAGTCCCCGTCTGAGTAGGTGGCTTCCATGATTCTAATTCTTGTGCTAGCTGATTTCCAACAATTGTTGGACTGTTTTTAAACCCCTGAGGTAATACTGTCCAAGTTAATTGAGTTTTTCTTCCTGTGTCAGGATTCTCCCATTCGAAAGCAAATAAATTTTGGCTTTCTTTGGCTAATGGTAAGCAAAAGAAAGCGTCCTTTAAATCCAGGACGGCAAACCATTTCTGATTTAATTTCAGTTTGGTCAATAATGTACATGGATTAGCCACCACAGGGTGGGTGTCCTCCACTATTTTATTTATTGCCCTCAAATCTGGAACTAGCCTATAGCTTTTCCCACCTGCTTTCTTTACTGGTAAAATAGGAGTGTTATATTCCGATTCACATTCCACTAATAGCCCATATCTTAAAAGTTTGTCAATTATTTCTTTAATTCCCCTTCTATCTTGTATTCTTAGAGGATACTGTTTTATTCGAACTGGGCAGGCCCCCCTTTTTATTTCAATTTTAATAGGCAAAGCATTCTTTGCCTTACCTGGAATTTCTGATGCCCAGACTCCTGGATATACCTGATTGAGGGTTTCTTCTACTTCGGGTGAACTGGACTTCTCGATTTCCTGTTGAATTAATGACACACTCATAGCTTCAATTAATTGGTCCTCTTTTAGTTCTATTTTGCCTCTTTTAAAGGTTATAATTGCCTCCAAATGTTCTAATAAATCTCTTCTGAATAATAATTTGGGTGAATTTGGCATATATAGAAATTTATGTACCCCAATTTGTTTTCCTATCTTGTATTTTAAAGGTCTTAGAAAGGATGCTTTTTCCTGATGGCCAGTAGCTCCCACAACCATTACAGACTCTTTTCCTTTTAATGTCAAATCTTGGTTCAAAACAGAGTAAGTTGCCCCACTATCTATAAGAAATTCCACTTCTTTTTCTGTGGCCCCTAGCCTGATTTTAACCAGTGGATCCGCTAGGGTAGATTCCCCAGGTCCCCGTCAATCTAATTCCAATTCAGTGGTCAATTGAGTCTGTTTTCCCTGCGGGCATTCCCATTTCCAGTGTCCAAACCCTCTGCAGTTTGCACATTGATTCTGACTGAGGGGAGTTCTTTTATAACCCCCCTCTCTGCCTCGGCCACGACCTCTGCCTCTCATTCCCATTCCTTGGCCACGACCTCTCATTCCACTATATCCCTCATTCACTTGCCCCAGTGCTGCAATCGCAGCTGTTGTTATGACCTTTCCTAGTATCTTTAACTTGTTCTCTGTTCCTGTATACTTTCCAAGCCACTTCCAGCAACTTTTCCATATCCTTTATTTCAGTCACAGATAACTTTTGAAGCTTTCGCCTGATACCCTCCGATGACTGCCCCACAAAGGAATTTGCAAGCTGTAATTTTCCTTTCTCTGAGGAAGGATTCGGTGTGGTGCATTTTTGCATAGCTCCTCTGAGTTTATCCAGAAACTCTGTCGGTGACTCCTTCGGCCCCTGTCTTATTTCAAACAGCACTGACCAATTTACCGTTTTAGGTATAGCATTTTCAAGCCCATATTTAATCCAATTCTGATATCTTTTCAAAGATGCATAATCTTTATCATCATCGTAGTCCCAGTTTGGAGCTGAGAGGGGAATATGATCTTCAGCCCTCCCCTCTATCGCCCCTGCAGTAATCTGAGCATTTACCTGAGTACAAGCAGTTTTTATAACCAGTTGTTTTTCTGTCTCTGTTAATGCATCCAGGATTACATCTATATCTTTCCAGTCAGGATCCTGGCTTTTTACCAGTATCTCAAATTTCTTTGCTACCCCTATAGGATCATTTCGATACTCTTTTGCAATCTGCTTCCAATTATCCAAATCCCCTAGAGAAAAGTTCACTTTTATTTTGGTATGCCCCCCGGTCCCATTGCTTCCCTCAGAGGAGCTTGCAGAACAGTCTTAGCTTTACTACGAACCCGGGAAGCAACAGGAGAGGAGGAAATTTGCTTTACACTTTGTTCTGGTTTTACACTTTGTTCTGGTTTTACACTTTGTTCTGGTTTTACACTTTGTTCTGGTTTTACACTTTGTTCTGGTTTTACACTTTGTTCTGGTTTTACACTTTGTTCTGGTTTTACACTTTGTTCTGGTTTTACACTTTGTTCTGGTTTTACACTTTGTTCTGGTTTTACACTGTTCTGGTTTTACACTTTGTTCTGGTTTTACACTTTGTTCTGGTTTTACACTTTGTTCTGGTTTTACACTTTGTTCTGGTTTTACACTTTGTTCTGGTTTTACACTTTGTTCTGGTTTTACACTTTGTTCTGGTTTTACGCTTTGTTCTGGTTTTACGCTTTGTTCTGGTTTTACGCTTTGTTCTGGTTTTACGCTTTGTTCTGGTTTTACGCTTTGTTCTGGTTTTACGCTTTGTTCTGGTTTTACGCTTTGTTCTGGTTTTACGCTTTGTTCTGGTTTTACGCTTTGTTCTGGTTTTACACTTTGTTCTGGTTTTACACTTTGTTCTGGTTTTTTTCCTGCTCCTCATCTGAATCAGAGGATTCCTCCTCAATCTGAGGTGGTCTCTGATCTGGTACTTTTGGGG